TTTTACGCATGATATAATCTATTTCTTTTACAAATTTTAGATTTATATTATTTTTAAAGTATTTCTTATGTTCTGCATTTACTAAATGGTCTGATGTATATCGTAAATAATTGTTAAATTTGTAAATATCTTATTGTAGAGCATATCTAATTGTAAATAGTTTGAACACTCATAGGTTACGTTTACGCGCCCTATGAGTGTCTTTGTCTTGCATCCAGATGTTTAATAAACTACATAATAAACAACTATATTTATATAGCGTACACAGCAAAATTAAGCAATAAATTTGATTTGGGAGTAACACAACTTGCCACAAAATTACGCAGCATCTTTCCAATATGGCGTGTTCCTGCGATACGCCTGCTATACTAAGACTTTTGTTCAGCGGTTTTCGTTTTATTACAATCTAATTGGCTAACAATTTCAAATTATTAAAATAGCGATGTTGCAGCCATGTYTACACGATAAAATTTGCAACAAGATTCAAGAGAAATGAAGGCAATTAAACTTGACTTCTTGATTTGTCTTTATAGACGATTTACTARTTCACGTAAGAAAGCTTGCAAGGTCCAAACGTAATGCCGAAGACTTTTTAAAAATCACATCCTTAAAAAGTGAGAATTTCTGCCAACAGACGTGCCCACCTGGCCCACCAGGGCTAAGAGGAATGCCTGGTTACATGGGCCCAAGAGGACCTAGAGGTGCRGGAGATCCGGGTCCCGTTGGTGTACCAGGAGCAGTGGGAASACCTGGAGCACCTGGGRATCGWGGTGAAAAGGGCATCCAAGGAGAACCAGGAAAGGTCGGACCAAGAGGACTAAGTGGAAAACGAGGAATTGTTGGGGAAACAGGAGGGAAAGGAGATAAAGGTGATACTGGACCTGCTGGAGATGTGGGGGGAAGAGGACCGACTGGAAAAACAGGACCTAAAGGTTTGGATAAATTTTGATTTTAAGTAGAAAATAGGTGATATTTGAATTTAAAACAACGTAATTTACTATCAGTTTTTCTGAAGCATAGGTGAGATGGGTCCCAAAGGAATTACGGGCGAAATAGGAATCAAAGGCGAGAAGGGACAAATAGGACCAACAGGAATACAAGGACTAAGAGGCCAGCAAGGAAAAATAGGAAAAACAGGAGAAAAAGGTCTAAAGGGCGATCATGGACCGAGAGGGGTGAAAGGTAATCAGGGAGAACAAGGTTTCAAAGGCGAAAAAGGCGTCAACGGGACTCAAGGTCTACGAGGATCAGAAGGACCTCGGGGCCAACAAGGTCCGGAGGGTGCAAAAGGGGAAATTGGCTCTACTGGACCACAAGGAGATGTGGGAATAACAGGCAATAAAGGATCACAGGGAGACAGGGGTCCAAAAGGGGACACTGGTTCTGTTGGAGCCCGGGGACGAAAAGGAGAACAAGGTGATAGAGGACCAGGCGGAGATTCAGGTCCAAAGGGAGATAAAGGAAAAACCGGAGACACAGGGGGAAAAGGTTTACCGGGAAATAAAGGTCCAAAAGGATACAAAGGAGAAAATGGCAAAAAAGGGACACCAGGAGAAAAAGGATTAACGGGAACTAAGGGGCAAAAAGGTAAATTTATTTTTATTTATATTTATTTAGGTTGATCAATATATCTATTGAAATTGTTCTATTTATCAACCTAAATATATTTCATAAACTTGCACAGTGTTAATTGACCTGTAGAGGTGGAATTAGGTGGTTAGAGGTTGAAGAGGAGGTRGGGGAGGATACGACAGTACAACTAAAAAAGGAATGTTTTTGGGACTGTGCATTTGCGTGTACTTACAAGTTGAGTATTTCATGTTTTTAGGTAGCATTGGCTTTAAGGGAGAAATTGGAATCAAGGGAGAAAAGGGGTTATCTGGAGCTAGTATCAAAGGAGACAAAGGCGAACTTGGTGTACACGGGCCACAAGGAGACAGAGGAGAAAAAGGAATCAAAGGAGAAGTTGGAACAAGGGGAAAAGAGGGGCCTCTAGGTTCTAAAGGAGATCTAGGACCGCGAGGGTTTCAAGGCCAACGAGGTCAACCTGGGTATAAAGGCGAAAAAGGTACAAATGGCACCAAAGGAATACAAGGGACAGAAGGAYCACAAGGTCAAGAAGGACGTCAAGGTGACAAGGGAGATTCTGGTTCTACCGGACCACAAGGACAGAAAGGAGATACGGGGGACAGAGGATTACAAGGGGAAAGAGGTCTGAAAGGGGGCAAAGGAACTATAGGAGACACGGGAGAGAAAGGAGTACAGGGCGACAGAGGTCCAAAAGGAGATAAGGGATACGATGGTCAGCAAGGAGATCAAGGACTAAAGGGAAATACAGGAGAAAAAGGAGAACAAGGTATTACTAGTTCTCAAGGATTATTCCATATATATTGTATTCTCTGACATCTTAAAATATCCATAAAATTAACATTTGATAGGGAGAGCTGGAGTCAAGGGAGACGGAGGATTCAAAGGAACGAAAGGAGAAACTGGAGTTGGCATCAAAGGAGATAAAGGAATCGCAGGAACGGATGGACTGCCTGGGGCTATAGGAGAGAAGGGACGTAAAGGAGAAACAGGACCAAAAGGACAAGAGGGACCAGTAGGACCAAGAGGCGGAGATGGAGCACACGGTTCAAAAGGTATACTAAGTTCATAAATACACAAATTTTCACAATTTGCTTACCACTAACACATTTTTTGAACATTCAAATAAGGCAACCGGTTGTCAACCCCTCCCCCTTTGATCAAGCCTATATTTTGTCATTCTGAATTTTCTAGGAGAAAAGGGTAGCGAAGGAAAATCTGGACCAAAGGGCGTACCAGGTCTACAAGGAATCAAGGGCGTGCAAGGCGATACCGGAAACACCGGTCCTAAGGGACCGTCTGGAGAGGTAGGACCAAAAGGTTCTACCGGAACCAAAGGCGAACAAGGAGTCAAGGGCCAAATTGGTCCTCAAGGAACAAAGGGAAATAAAGGCGAAATAGGAGGTAAAGGAGAAAAAGGACCAGTTGGATTCCAAGGTCCGCAAGGTCCCAGAGGCAAAACTGGTAAAACAGGAAAGGTCGGTCCAATAGGTCCTTATGGTCCGACAGGAGACAAGGGAGATGTTGGTCCTTCAGGTCCTCTTGGTGCGAAAGGTATTAGAGGAGATAAAGGTCAAAGAGGTCAACAAGGAATCCAAGGAAATCCAGGCCTTAAAGGTGAAAAGGGTGGAAAAGGACGAGTAGGAGAAAAAGGGACGATAGGACCTATTGGAATAAAAGGTAGGAAGACAGTACATCAGTACCATACATTGTCAGCTGAGCAAAAGATAAATGAGAGTCCCACAATTGTATTTCCCAGGCATGTCGACTCTTTGGCAAAAATAGTTTATATAAAATAAAAACCTGAAGGGAAAGGAGGAAAGGGAATTTTGCTTTTGCGGTTTCAATCCCCTCGTACATTAAATTATAATCACCGTTGGTTAGCATCTACAAAACTATCCAAATTAAGATAATAAACGAGTCATGTTGTCCTGGTATAGGTGAACAAGGAGATATAGGTCTTCCTGGAATAAGAGGATTGCCAGGAAAAGACGGACCTATAGGAATCCCTGGACTACCTGGCGCAATGGGAGAACCGGGTACACGAGGACTGAAGGGTGAAAGAGGTATGCTACCAAATGTGCATTTTTAAGAAAGCAACCCTATGCCACAATTCATCACTTGTGATGTTTTAGAAGTATTCTGTTTGTATTTATTTCCCTTCTATGTTTTTNGAGTACAGGGCGACAGAGGTCCAAAAGGAGATAAGGGATACGATGGTCAGCAAGGAGATCAAGGACTAAAGGGAAATACAGGAGAAAAAGGAGAACAAGGTATTACTAGTTCTCAAGGATTATTCCATATATATTGTATTCTCTGACATCTTAAAATATCCATAAAATTAACATTTGATAGGGAGAGCTGGAGTCAAGGGAGACGGAGGATTCAAAGGAACGAAAGGAGAAACTGGAGTTGGCATCAAAGGAGATAAAGGAATCGCAGGAACGGATGGACTGCCTGGGGCTATAGGAGAGAAGGGACGTAAAGGAGAAACAGGACCAAAAGGACAAGAGGGACCAGTAGGACCAAGAGGCGGAGATGGAGCACACGGTTCAAAAGGTATACTAAGTTCATAAATACACAAATTTTCACAATTTGCTTACCACTAACACATTTTTTGAACATTCAAATAAGGCAACCGGTTGTCAACCCCTCCCCCTTTGATCAAGCCTATATTTTGTCATTCTGAATTTTCTAGGAGAAAAGGGTAGCGAAGGAAAATCTGGACCAAAGGGCGTACCAGGTCTACAAGGAATCAAGGGCGTGCAAGGCGATACCGGAAACACCGGTCCTAAGGGACCGTCTGGAGAGGTAGGACCAAAAGGTTCTACCGGAACCAAAGGCGAACAAGGAGTCAAGGGCCAAATTGGTCCTCAAGGAACAAAGGGAAATAAAGGCGAAATAGGAGGTAAAGGAGAAAAAGGACCAGTTGGATTCCAAGGTCCGCAAGGTCCCAGAGGCAAAACTGGTAAAACAGGAAAGGTCGGTCCAATAGGTCCTTATGGTCCGACAGGAGACAAGGGAGATGTTGGTCCTTCAGGTCCTCTTGGTGCGAAAGGTATTAGAGGAGATAAAGGTCAAAGAGGTCAACAAGGAATCCAAGGAAATCCAGGCCTTAAAGGTGAAAAGGGTGGAAAAGGACGAGTAGGAGAAAAAGGGACGATAGGACCTATTGGAATAAAAGGTAGGAAGACAGTACATCAGTACCATACATTGTCAGCTGAGCAAAAGATAAATGAGAGTCCCACAATTGTATTTCCCAGGCATGTCGACTCTTTGGCAAAAATAGTTTATATAAAATAAAAACCTGAAGGGAAAGGAGGAAAGGGAATTTTGCTTTTGCGGTTTCAATCCCCTCGTACATTAAATTATAATCACCGTTGGTTAGCATCTACAAAACTATCCAAATTAAGATAATAAACGAGTCATGTTGTCCTGGTATAGGTGAACAAGGAGATATAGGTCTTCCTGGAATAAGAGGATTGCCAGGAAAAGACGGACCTATAGGAATCCCTGGACTACCTGGCGCAATGGGAGAACCGGGTACACGAGGACTGAAGGGTGAAAGAGGTATGCTACCAAATGTGCATTTTTAAGAAAGCAACCCTATGCCACAATTCATCACTTGTGATGTTTTAGAAGTATTCTGTTTGTATTTATTTCCCTTCTATGTTTTTGTTTGTTTTTTTTTCAATTTTCTTTTCTTTCCTCTTATGTTATTTTCAATCTCGTGATTCCAGTCAAAAGATAAAGAATGTGAAGTGTATATAAACAATAAATAGCAATTACATGCAACAAAACGAGACCACGGGTCCAAACTCAAGGGAATCAAGTTTTGTTGGAATTCAATCGAAAACTTACAGAAAATGATAAACATGAGCCCATTTAAATGATGTTCACTAAAACTATACCTTTGAAGTCAATGTCTTCTTGGTCGTATTTGGACAAAATTATAGACATAACCCTGTGATTTTATCCTTTAATTCCACAGGAGCTTTAGGACCACTAGGTGAGAAAGGAATGCCCGGTCCTCAAGGGCTAAAAGGAACCAAGGGTGACCCCGGGTACACTACAGTAATAACAAGCGTYATAAGGAATTACACAACTTCAAGCCAAGTTAAGCCAAGGGACGAAATTTGCGTCGGCGTAGAAATTCTCTTYAATGAAGCGCCCAAAGAAGGCTGTACCTTGAGTAAAGAAACGGTCAGGGCGTCTTTTGCAAAGCAATTAGGTAGAGCGATTTATTATTTTGAAAATGTTGAGGTGAAGGTAAAAGTAAAAGATAATAAGAAGCAGTTGATGGTCAGGTTCAATACGACCCGGCCAATTGAAAAAGATATCAGAAATAACCAAGGGCAGATAAAGCTTCCATTGGATGAAGCAACATGCAACGAAACAACATCATTTAACGAGGACTCGTAACATCMTCGACTTTCAAGGCCAAGGACGACCAATCATATTCAATAATTCTGACAGATTATTAGATTAGATTAAACTYCTCAAAATAATCCAGAAATCGAAAGAAAGAAAAAAGAAGAAAGAGAAATAAAAGAAAAAAATGGAAAATTTCAATCTAGGAAGAGTGCAGTGAGTCGGTGTTTGTTTGTTTGCTTTTCGATAGTTTCTTGTAAGTCTTATTTTGTCAAGCTTATTTATAGGCTACCTAATATTTGACCCATAATTCCTTTAAAGATCGAGGTCAACTTATTAGGAGGGAGTGCATTCTTAACATGGTTCCCGAAATTGCCATAATTATATGTATTACAGTGAAGACACTCGAACCATGAAGACTTGACTTTATTCAGATTTTTATTTTCTGGGCTTTTTACTGCCTCAAACCCTCTAAAAGAGTYGGATTGAGCTCAAATATGCTATGCGATCAAAAGACAAGTCATTTCTAAATGATTCGCTCCAGGGATGCATGTTAAAAAAAGTAGTAAAAAAGCACAAAGTGTTCATGGTTAGAGTTTCCTCACTGAGATGCAAAAATTACTTCTGATGTTGGAAAGTCGAGGAGAATTTTACGAAGAACAAAAAAAGGTTTAAAATCAGAAAACACACATTTATTATATCAGCAAAAAATTGCAAACGGTGAAACGGCTCTAAAAATTGTTGGGCATATTTAAAGTTATTTTATTCAAGCTCAGTTCCATCTGATGTAAAACCGAATTTGTCAGATATTTACCTGAACCAAGAATGAAGAAATTCGTATTCTCTTTTGACAATAGATGTCGGTATTAAATAGCACTACATGCATTCAAGTCAAGGTTACTGTAAGCAGATTTACTCAATGCTAAACGGAGGTCACTCGACTGTTTCAAATATCGTCTGTTTCAAATATCACAGGAACATTTGCTTGACTTTTGATGCAAGATCTTTGGTCTCTAATCCCAATGCAAATCTCTGAAAAACATACGGTATCTTAGAATTGAAGTCGAACCGATTTCGCTATCACGAAAGSCGGAAATAGAACCTCAAAATGTCAGAGAAGAAATCTTCGGGTAATGAGAGCTCAACCTCCTCTCCCTCGAGACAAAACACATCTTCTAAGTCAGCCATCGTTCTATCCAGTGTAGCATTGCTGAGCAGTTTGGCTTTRCTAATCAGGTTTGAAACTGTCCAACACAACAACGGTTTAAATTTTGAGGATGTGGAGAAGGATCTAAAAACTCTTTGGGAGGCGAAACTTAATAGAGGTAAGACTATCTCGTCTGGTTACGTCTTGACCTGCCCTAGTCAAGATCTCTTAGGAAGTAGTACTAAAAATATATATTCCAATTTAATCATTACATAGTCCAGTCTAATCCTTACCATAGTAACATAACGAAATTTTCCATGTTCGAAACGAACTTATATCGGAAATCATCATCATCAGAACGTCAGAACGTCAGAAGGCGCATAAGGCCGTATTAAAATAMATAAAATAAATCACTYTTATTTAAGTGTCTAGTCGTTCTAGCGCTTTCGCACTAATTGGGGACACTTTCCGCTCACACGCACTACCACTACATTTAATACTCTATGCACACAACGCTCAACTCACATGTTTATTTTTTACGGAGGGAGAAAAACGGAGAACCCGGAGAAAACCCACGTAGCATAGGAGAGAACAACACATCAAACAAACTCGATTCACATGTGGCGACTGCAGGGCTCGAACCAGCGACMCGACCCGTTGGACTCACAGTGGTGAAAATATAACCGACAATTTCTGATTGAAAACTTGAAACCTTCAAAGCGGATATCCCACAAGGGGTTTTATTATGTGAGCATTTTTAAGGGTACTGAAATGATATTAAACAGTATGACATGCCTGCGRCTACATCTGCTCTTCATGGCGCGATTTGTTAGCCATACTCGATGACACATATTATGCATGTTATAATGTTTAATATTATTTCAGTGCCCTCAAGAATGTTCACATAATAAAACCCTATTTGTTATATATAAATGATAAATCCTTATGCGACTTCTAGCGTGAAGAGCGACAATGATGATGATGACAACGACAATGACGACGATAATGATGATTATAAGGAAGATAGTATGTTATATATTTTTACATTTTTCATTCACAGATGAATTGCTAATCCATGTCAAGCAGCTCGCACGTTCAAAACGCAATGCTGATGACTTCTTGAAAATCATTAATTTGAAAACCGATAATTTTTGCACCGAAAAGTGCCCTCCAGGTCCYCCAGGCCAAAGTGGAAKGCCAGGAAGTATGGGTCCAAGAGGACCTCSAGGTGCAGGAGAGCCTGGGCCTGTGGGTATACCAGGGGCTGTGGGAAGASCTGGAGCACCTGGGAATCGAGGTGAAAAGGGCATCCAAGGAGAACCAGGAAAGGTYGGACCAAGAGGACTAACAGGACAACGAGGAATTGTTGGGRAAACAGGAGGGAAAGGAGATAAAGGKGAYACYGGAMCTGCTGGAGTTGTGGGGGGAARAGGACCYACTGGAAGAACTGGAGCTAAAGGTTTGATTTAATTGCATTGTACAAGAACGTTAAACTTTTAAACTCATTACCTCTCGAAAAGAAACAACTATATACTTACACAAACATACTAATGCATCGTGAAAATTCTTCMTATATCTTAGGACATTTTTAGCCTGTGGCGCGGAAGAATTTTCGTGGTTTGGCGTTATATGTTACACACACAGATACTTGACCCAAGCAAACTTGATAAGTCAAYAATTGATTCTGTTTTCAGGCGAGACTGGTTCCAAGGGAAACAAAGGAGAAATAGGAATCAAAGGCGAAAAGGGACAAATAGGACCAAYAGGCCAACAAGGACTGAAAGGCCTACAAGGAAATTTAGGAAGAAYAGGAGAAAAAGGTCTCAGGGGTGATCAAGGCCCAAGAGGGTTAACAGGTCAACAAGGAGTACCAGGATTGAAAGGGGAYAAAGGTCTTGAAGGAACTCAGGGCCCTCGAGGAACAGAAGGAYTACGAGGRCATCAGGGACCAGTTGGTGCAAAGGGGAACATYGGTCCATCAGGAYCCCAGGGAGCAAAAGGAGATTTGGGTRAGCGAGGWCTAACTGGTGAGACAGGTCCAAAAGGTGACAAAGGCAATATCGGCGTCATCGGTCCCGTTGGTCCTAAAGGTATCCAAGGAAACCAAGGGCAAAGAGGTCCTAAAGGAGACACTGGTAAAACTGGTACCAAAGGAAGCGATGGAGTTAATGGAGYCGACGGTACGAAGGGAGAACAAGGAGAACMMGGAATAAGAGGACCTGTGGGGGATCCTGGKAATCCTGGTATCTTAGGAGCTCCTGGACCGAAAGGAGAAAAGGGGTTACAAGGGAACATAGGTCGAAGAGGTGAACAGGGAAAACAGGGTGCAAAGGGGGAACGAGGGCCACAGGGAACAGGTGAAAGAGGGGAAAAAGGTAAGTTCATAATCCCTATTGATCAATATCAATTTCAAATTCACTCAAATCAAATTTCCCAGTGAAATATAAGTATGTATAGAATAGATGCCACATTGTATACCAATATAAATCAGGTATAATGGGACCGCGAGGGAACCCTGGAGAAAAAGGAACACAAGGAGAGAAGGGAGCTGGTGCCAAAGGAGACAAAGGCAGTGCCGGTGCAGTTGGACCACAGGGAGGTAAAGGAGATAAAGGATTAAGAGGAGATAAAGGACKTAAAGGCGAAAAGKGCAAASAAGGACCTAAAGGAGATCTAGGACCGCGAGGGATAATGGGTCATCAAGGTGGTCCAGGCGTCAAAGGTGATAAAGGTTCAAACGGCATTCAAGGACCSCCTGGCCTCGAAGGACTGCGAGGGCATCAGGGAATCCAAGGTCTGAAAGGAGAGGTTGGTGCCAAAGGGCCMCAAGGAATAAAAGGAAATACAGGCGAGAAAGGAGTGACTGGAGAARGTGGTCCAAAAGGAAATAAAGGAAACACTGGTCCTAAAGGCATAAAGGGCAATCTAGGAGAGCAAGGACTTCAAGGCGGGAGACACAGGCCCAAAAGGAATGAAAGGCCAAGTTGGAAAACAAGAAATAAAGGGAGATGTAGGAGAAAAAGGTCAAGTTATATATCTGCCTTTAGGTCTTCGTCCATTTAAAAAAATTTGTTGTAATAGAATAAAGACGATTGCCCAAAGTAGGGGCACAAATTGGAAAATGGCAAATAATATCAGTGTTACAACCACTATTTTGTATAAATTTTTGTAAATACAGTTAATTTTTTCTAATTTTCTGATCTTCTGAGTTTCTGATCTACTTTTATTCACTASAAAACATCCATAATTTCAGGGAATATTGGAGGAAGAGGGCTTCCTGGAATCAGAGGAATAAAAGGAAAAACTGGAGTTGGACTAAAAGGAGACAAAGGCGAAATTGGTGCAGTTGGCCAGCAAGGATACAGAGGGGAAAAGGGAATCAGAGGAGACCCTGGGGCTAAAGGGCAGGAAGGTCCGGTAGGCCCTAAAGGCGATCTAGGRCCACGAGGTTTGACAGGTCATCAAGGTGAAAMAGGGATAAAAGGTGATAAAGGTTCAAACGGCATCCAAGGACCAACSGGTCTCGAAGGACTACGAGGGCATCAGGGAATCCAAGGTCAAAAAGGAGAGGTTGGTGYCAAAGGTCCTCAAGGYATAARAGGAAACACAGGSGAAAAAGGACTGAWTGGAGAAAGTGGTCCAAAAGGGAATAAAGGRAATACTGGCGACATTGGTGCMGTTGGTGCCAAAGGCGTCCAAGGAGACAAAGGGCAAAGAGGACCTAAAGGAGACACTGGTAAGACTGGTAYWAAAGGGAGCGATGGAGTTAATGSAGCCGACGGTAAKAAGGGAGAASCAGGAGARCCAGGAATAAGAGGACCTGTTGGTGATCCTGGAAATCCAGGTATCTTAGGAKCTACTGGACCRAAGGGAGAAAAAGGCTTACAAGGGAACAGAGGTCCCGCTGGTATCCAAGGAGTTACTGG